AGTGAATTTCTTTTTTTTTATTTTAACAAAAGCGGCAAAGTTAAACCTTATTGGGATGTTTAGTAGCACATAATTTTTTGTACAATTTTGGCTTGCACGTCGGCTCTGTTTTTTTAAGTCTCTTTGGAGAGAAACGTTTTAGCCTCTGTGCAGTTTACAAATGTACATATTTTTACCACGGTAGCATCTTGAAGAGGCATTATTTTTTTTTTTTTTTTTTGAACTTGCCTTTTGGTCATCCCAAAATTGTGTTTCGACATAGGGCAGTAACTTTAGGCTTTCACTGTTTGTTGTACTTTTGAGAATATGATAATCACTCAAATAAAAAGGAAAACTAACACATTTGTAACGTTAAAAGGATGAAACGAAATTCTTCCTATGTCGACGTGTGCAAAATGTTTCAATATTTGCCTTAAGTGGTACTACAGGCATGCCTATATGGAGCAATTTTCCCAATGCCCGCTTTTGAACTTTATGGGGAGATGCTTTTTCTTTTTTTGGAGTTCGTAGAACAAAACTACTGTTGCAGCACTGTTGGCTGTGATGAGGTGCTTTTTGCCGAATTATGCTTACCCAGTTGATCGGAAAGGAAAAAAAAAAAATTTCCTTCCCCCACAAAGAGGGGTATATGTATATATGTATGTACACGTTAGCGCCTAACCGCGATGTCGTATTGCCCGTCATTTCTGATAAGCGGAGTAACCGTTCACTTTCTCTCAGCTGAAGTGCGGCCATAATGCATTTAAAGCGAAAAGAGGTCAAACAAAAAAGCTACTTTTGCTTTCTTCCCATATGGTAGGCAACATAAGAAAGGGTGCTTCCCCCTCTGTGCAGAAACCGACGATCAGCGTGGACACTTTTGAATGATATCCATAAAGCTGGAAAAATAGCACGACAACGAAAAGGGTAAATCAAATTGTTTCATCTTTCCCAGTTGGTCCCCTTATGCTCTTTTTTCCAAGCAAAGAAAATGAGGAGCAACGCCAAGTGGTAACAATGTAAACATAAAAGCATATACATTTTTGTATGTGCCGAATGAACAAAATATAATGTGTTAGCCCCCCTCCCGTTTGTTATGCAAAACTTGTGATTCTTCGTTAGAAAGGAAAAAAAATGACGAAACTCGTCGCATTATAACGCGGTATTCCTTCAGGGATGAGATGAGAAATGAACCTGATTGGGGGCAAAAATGTAACAAATGCTTACGCGGCACGTTTTCGTTTCGTTGGTTTCGTTTGTTTCTTTTGTTTCTTTCGTTTCTTTCATTTCTTTTGTTTCCTTCTTTTCTTTCGTTCCTTTCGTTCCTTTGGTTTGACATCGCGGGAACCTATATCGTTGGAGACAAAGCGCACAGGAAAAGAAGCAGGAATATTTTTAAAAACGGTGAGGCCCAAAAGTTGACAGAATGGTTGAGGATAACATACATGTGATTCAGAATGACCCGCTCATTATCGTAGATAAATTCCCCTACACCAGGAAGAAGGAAAGAGTCACAGGTATGGCGGCAGGGGTACGAGCATCTGCGTGTGTGATTCTATGCACATAGTCATTAACACAAGTTTTGCACAGCGATTCTGACACCGCCGTGTACCCAGCATGGCTTTGAAGAGGGGGAAAAAAAAAGAAAAAAAAACACCTGTTCTAGCCCCAATCTTCCAGTGTTAACATCACCTTCGTGTAGAAATATATCTTTGAAATATGCCTGTTTGCACATATGCGTGTAAGCCCCACCGCCACCCCCATTTGAGCACCTTATTTTAACATTTTGTCCCCCTCGCATTTTGGGGGCGACTTTCCCCCCTGCTAGACGAACAAGAGGAAGAAGAAAAAAAAAAAAAAATCACGAAGATATATTTCTTGACTCATTTCCACGCTGATCATTACAGCAACATAAATAAATACTTCCACGAGAACGTCTTCTCCTCGACCATAACGAAAAAGTTGTTAACAAACATAATTGGAGTGAATGAAAAATATATACACAATTTAAAAATTAATAAGAATTACCATCTTTTCAATTTCGAAATAATTTTTATCGACGCAAATCATTGTCCTGGATCTGTAATTATCTATTTTGAATTTGCAAATGGAACAAAAATCATACACACAGGCGATTTCCGCTATTCCAATGTTCATACCTTTTTGATAAAAAAAGTGTTAACTTATAAAAGGAATGAAAAAAATAGAGAACACAGAATGGAAACATTGAGTCCGACAAAATGGAAGGAACAAAGCAGCAAAGGGGAGTTGTCCACCGGGATGAAAAGGGGCTTCTCCTGGAAGGACAATCCATACAGCATCCATTTCAGTAGCGTACATTTAAATATCTATAAAAGAAAAACTTACATTGTAAATTTTGAAGAGTTCAGAATAGCTTATTTAAAAAATGTTGAAGATTTAATTTGGGGACTTAAATCTGTGGGAAAAGAATTTTATTTGTATGATTCCATTGAAAAGGAAAATTACTTTAACTTTTTCATTTACGTAGATTTATCTCTATATTTTAATCAGAACGAAGTGGACATGTTGCTTCTGTATGATGGCAATAAAAGGCTAAATGACAACTTGGTAATTAACGAGGAAAACGTAAAGAACATTCACTTTGTCGCGATCTCTGATGGGGAAAAGTTAGAAGATGGAATCAGTCGTGACGGAACTAACTCCGTTATGATGAAAAGGGAGTTGCTTCACCATTTGTCCGATAAGTCCGCGTTCAATCTTAGTAGAAGAAATGGCGTCAAGTGCGGTAGGACGAATGAAGAACACGGAAAGGTTAAAAAGGAAGAGGACATGGACGTGAACGAGCCGCGGTTTACACATCAGCATACCATGGAAGACGAGAAGACAGTGGTAAAAGCGGAAAGAGAGAGCCCAAATGATCTCATCAAGCTTGAAGATAGTCAAGGTGGGCAAAAAATAAATGCCCCTTGTGACGTGAACGAATCGGAAGAAGGCTCAAATTATATAAGGACCATTTACCTGGACACAACGTATGCCCTGTCGAAAAATAATTTGTTCGCGCCGCAGATGTATTTGATTAATTTTATTATATATATATGTAAAAGGAAAGTGAGAGAAGATTCCGCCGAAGCGGTCGGCGCCACGGTACAGGCGGGGGAGAAGCACAAATCTAACCTTTCTAGGACGGGGAAACGAACCCGCGCGCATAAATATAAGGACGAGGGATGGGGAGGCAAAGTGGGTAGAACAAAGAGCGATGAAAAGAAGGGGACAACCACATATGGAGTGGAAAAGAACGGAGCCAGTGGACCGGAGGGTATGGATGAGAAGGGCTTAGGGGGAGAAGGGAACACATCCAAAAAAACCCTATTCATGTTTGGAACCTACAACCTGGGGAAGGAAAAAATTTACCTAAGCGTATCCGAGGCGTGCAACATGAAAATACATTTTAGGAATGAAAAGAAAAAAACAATAATTGAGTCCTTCTTACACAATAAAAGTATGTTAAATAGAATAACAGACAACAAGTTGGAAGCGCAGATCCACATAGTTGACATTAATTACTCGTATATATTCCCCAGAATTGAAAAAAATAAATTTAAAAATTTAATAGACGAAGAAATCGAAAAAGAGTTTGATTCATTCTATTATATTATCCCCACAGGATGGGTTAAAAAATATTCCTTTTATCAAAAAAATGAAATCTCCATTTTTTTAATCCCATATAGTGAACATTCGAATTTATCAGAATTGGAAAGCTTTGTAAAATCTATCAAGCCCTGTAATATAATCCCTACTGTGTTTTCTAACCCTAAGGAAAAGACGAGGATCCTAAATATCTTCAACTCGTGCCTGAACTTACAGCGCAAAGTGCTCAATTTTTTGAAAATATCGGATGAGAGTTGTTTGGTCAGGAATAAAAAAATATCCAAAAGAGGCGAAAAAACCAATTACCCGCGGAAACAAATTGTAAGAGGCAATATTGGGGGCGGAAAAACTTCCATTGATAGCTGCCAACCCAAGTTGACGTCGTTTTTTCCCTTCATAAAAAGGAAGGAGTGACTCCCCTAGGGGGATGGATGATACGTTAGTTCATAGTTTTGTCTCGCAGTGACATTCTACTTCTCTTCGCAGCGAATACGCTTACAAATGGGGGTGAAAAAACACAGGTGATAATATTCCCCCCTTTTGTAGACTTTCCTAGTAACAAATTGTCGATTGTTTTCGTATCTACCATCTTAGTTATGCTCATGTAGACATTTTGGAGAATGTCCATACGAGACCCAACTTGAGTACCCCTGCATGGAGGCATTTCCCAATATTGGCTAGGCACTACTATACCTTTAAATTTATGCATCCATGTAGGTCAAACACACGTATGACAGGACAGCATGTACGATTTTAACGCAATTTCCCTATGCCTCTCTTTAACTTATCCTGTTCTTTTTTTGTTCGTTTGAGTGGCAATTTATTACGCT